AATTTAGCCCCATTTGATATCCATTATTTTGAAAAAAAAAAAAAGAAAAAAAAAAGGAGTTTTAAGTAGTAAATTTTTGAAGAATGTGTGGTTAAAAATTAGATGAATGTTTTGGGCTTACGTGCAAAATATCTTATTATATACATGTGTATTTGAAAATGAGTATAATAATTAAAGAGTTTTGTTTTAAAGGGAGACAAATAGGTTAAGTTAATGAGCAACCAAGTTTCCCGACAGTTTCACTACGCATAGATCTGTGCTCTTAAAACATGAGATAACTAACTATTTTAATGATAAGTAATCAATTGTTAATAAAATTTAATTAATCGTTTTAAAAGTTTTGAATGATAAAATGTTAATGCAATTTGATATATTTTTTTTCATATATTATAACTGTGTAACTTTCAACTATTAACACTGAAATGTGGGCTTGGAAGTCCTTCAATGAAATAATTCCTTTCTACTTCACAAGCTCCTGTAGGGATTTTTCAAAATTCAGTGCTTGCTTGATAGGAATTTTGTTAATTGATTTTTTGACCGTTAGAGATACAATGGGTTTTACCTATGAGAAAAGAATTCAAAAATGACGGCTATAATAGTGAAATAATAGTCAAAAAATTGATTTTAATTGGATTTTAAGCTGTACCAAACATGCTCTCAGTTTGACTGGACAATTACGAGTGAATTACCCAAACGATCACTGAATTTTGAAAAAAGTTTCACTGAATTTTGAAAAAAGTTTCCACGGGGTTACTGAGCTTTAAAAATTATCCAATTCATCACTGAATTTTACAAAAGGTTTCAATGAGGTCACTGAACTTTAAAAATCACTCAATTTATCACTGAACTTTGTAAAAGATTTCCACGGAATCACTAAACTTTGCAAAAGGTTTCTCAGGGATAATTCATTGAACTTTGGATGATTTTTAAAATTCAGTGACCCGTGAAAACCTTTTACAAAGTTCCGTGATCATTTGGATAATTCACTCGGACAATTACAGACAATGTTTCCCTTTCTTCTAGGGTTGTCATTGAATATATGGGAAGATGCACTTGGGAGAAATGTACCATTCCTTTATCTGTAGCTGAACCATAAAATTGGAATTAGGCTTCTTTGAGATGAATTGAGTTGTAACACTGAGTATCCCAGAATAGGAGACCCCTGTGCCCGTGTTTGCATAAGTGTCATCATTGTCATGTTTATTGACTTCTCTTAATCCTCAGTTCTTTAATAATGACAGCAATGCGTTATGTATTTTTGTTCATTTCCATATAATTAATTTGTCATACATGTAACAGGCAAAACACCTAATGTACACAATGTTGGAATCTCTACTAGCTTGAATTTCAGAATCCAAAATCATAATTTGGTTCTTGTAGACTGAGGGGTCTTATACTGTACAACAGAACTACACAAACATGGATATCCATGTGGCTCAGTCATACTCATTCTTGGTGACAATGGATCAAAATGCTAGTAGTGATTATTAAATTGTTGCCAGTCCACGGTTTGTCAATTTCTCACCTTGGGCCAAGTCTACAGGTGTTGCTACATTGCACTACTCAAATTCACTGGGGCCTGATTCAGGTCCTTTTCCAGACCTCCTAACGAATATGAGACGTCTTTCTCAATGAATCGGGCAAGATTCATAATATTGCAACACGTTAGAAATATCACTAGATTGTAGCCTTAATTCTGTGATATAAAATATGCATTTCACTCTACAATATTTTATTGTGGTGACAGGACAGTTTACGGAGTGTGGACAGAGAGCAGTAGAGGAATTTACAACAAATGGGATTGTGTAACTCGCTGCACTACCCAGGCTATCACAGTCCTGAAATTGTATCCTAGCGTTTATTATTGTTGCAATTGCTTGAAACGTGCTTTTATTCCTTTATTTATCAGAAATTTCATAGACACAGTCTCTTTGACTAGTCTTCATTATTGTTTATCCACTAGGCTAGATTTGATTTGCTTATAGAAAGAAAGAGAACAGGACTGGACTCAGTTTCGTTACCATATAGAATAAGAAGGCAGGTACTCTTTTGCTTCAAATATTTGCACATCTAGGTTTTGTTTTTTGTCTTCATTAATCTCCACCAGTACTTTTAACAAGATCGAGATGCCTTGACAATATTTTAGTTTAAAACTGGCAGTTATATATTGATATATTTTTGACCTAATCGCAGGTATTTCCCCAGACTTAAACTTATATTATAGTTTCTCTTGATAATGCTGGAATGTGGAACCTCCGCACACAGAACCTTGATCCGTGGTTTCTTGGCCAAGAAGTTTATGTGAATTCCGAAAGTGACAACTGAAGTTCAATTGCCCGAGAACACAATCTATGGTGCCCTCTCGCCCTTGCAGAAGTAAGATATGACAATATATGTTCTTTCTTGTCAACTGTCTAAAGACATCTATACCTCTTTATTGGTCGATCTTTCGAGTGGAAATGTTTATAATACTGTTGTCAAAGCAGTAGTAATTAAAATTTTCCCGCTCCTGTTATTTGCCTCTCATCATATCGGTATCTCATCAGCATATTTCTCCTAATTATGGAATAATATGGAATTGCTGTTTATAAGATTTTTTTAAACTCTGTTACTTCTTGAATGCTTCAGGGACCAGGCTCTAAGAGTCAACTTCTCTGGCGCATCGGGTTCTGCGAAGACGGTTAAATCTGTTTAATTGCATTTCTAGTCGCCTTACTAGGATCATTGATGAGGTGAATCTCAGGTGATAAATAACTTGAAGCTTTGAATTGGAGACTTCGATTTAGATTGAAAGACAAAGAAAATGGACACAAGCTTTGTTGCTTTCTTGAGCTTAGCTGAGATTAAGGTTGTAACGATGATGCATATGAGATGGTAACTTATGGGATCTTGATTCTTCTGTTATAACAAACTGGTTTTTTTTTTTCCTTTACGGGTTAACATAAAGAAAATACGTCTTTCTTACCATTGAAGTCTCGTGCATTTATTGCATGACAAAAATTTGACCATTCTTGTTACGACAGTTCTGATGGAGAAGCCAGCATGTAGAATTCTCTGTTTCTATATGAACTTCAACACATATTGACAGTTCTGAACCACGAGCTAGCTAGTCTTGAGTTCGTAGGCAATGGGAAAGCTTCGATTTTTGTCTCATTGATTAATTTCTTAAACAAAAATAAAACTTTTTGGCTCGTGGACCGTTTTGGGCTCAGCTTGGCTCGTGTGGACCGAACCAAGCCTTGTTTGTGGATTCGAGCCTAGTCGAGTCAACTTGATCCATTGATACCTCTAGATAAAATTGAACATGACTAGATGTCACGTTTGCGAGATTAATGAGGTCAATGGTTGCACGCATGTATTTTTATAATTTATTACATAATATATATGTATTCATGCATGTGTATATATTCAACAAAATAAAAATTTTCATAACTATATTTGAATCATAAGTATACGTAGCCTAATTTTGTGCTCAAAGTGCAAAGTCATTTAAGGCTTAAGCTTTGGAATGTGTAAAATCTTGCCTCGAATGCACCACTTACTCGTCTTTTCTTGTTATGAACGTCAGAAACCACAAAAGTAGGCTAACTTTTTTGTTTCTTTACCTCCTTTTTATTATTATTATTATTATTATTATTATTATTATTATTATTATTTATATTCAGGTATCCCAACTTACACTAAACTAAAACCTGGACCCCGAAAATCCTTGCCCCTAGAACCTTGGAGGGGGTAAATCGCGGGTTATGCCTCAACAGGATCACATTTTCCCCTCTCTGCCTGTACACTTCTGCGCACAAGAGATCCTCCTCCATAGTGATTGCTCCATACCAAATAAATCTGACTGTAGGTTCCCACCAAAATTCGAACCTCCACTTTTAATGCTTAAAATCGATGAGTAACATGAAATTACTCTCGTATTATTAAATTAAGTTGAGATATATTTTTATTTACGAAGCGATGTAGTAGCGACCTTACACCACCGAGAAAGGTGTGAAGCACAATTGTGCTCTGTATCAATATTATGAGATAATGCTTTTATTTTTACGTTTTAGCACTGTCCATATGATGCTAATCCCTGCACGAGCTTCATTTTATTAAGAATATATTTTGTAATTTTTTTTTTTTTTGGGAGAATATGTAGATAAAAAGCATAATGATATTTTCGATTTATGTACAAAAGTATTTTATCAATAGAATGTGAAGTTGAAACGAGTTTGGGAATAATGAATTTCAATTAAATGGATTTCATATAGCTATACTTAATTGAATCTATCCTTTAATATCAATTATATTGTCATGTAGACTATGTTAAATATTAATGGTGCTACATAACGTTATTTTAAATCATAATTCATTCTTTCTATTCTTAGAAATTTTCCAACCGTTTTATTAGGCCTAACTTGTCATGGGATAACTTTCTAGAATGGCATTTCAATGATAGCTCGGGACTTCGAAATATTGTATCCAAGTAAACTTAAACAATTTCATTGTGGGGTAAATTAACCCACGGTCACTTAAATTTACCCGTAATTGCAATCAAGCCACTGACTTTTAATTCGGAGCAATTTTACTTTAGTTTACGAGCAACTAGAACATTTTGCTAGCCTTCTCTTCAACCGCTTTTATTAGAATTAGTGACGATGCCATTAAAAGTGAAGGAGTATCCTTTCCTTTATTAAAAATGCAATGGTCAAATTGCAAGTTAGGGTGAAGTTCAATGACTTCGATAGAAATTTACCCAATTTCAAAATGTCTTTAACAAAAAGATAAGAAAGACTCACTTACATAGAAAAATTATAAAAGTTGAAATAAAATAATTATTTTTACTCAATTCCCACCCCCGCCACCCCCCCCCCCCAAAAAAAATCAAGAAAGTTGGTATGATGATATGGAAGCCTACGATTGAAGCTTCAATGAATAACAATCATAATTCATAAGACATCAAAATTCATTGTTGGATAAGTTTGATCCTTACCTAAATTGAAGTAAAAGGTATGGGCATTGAGCAGTGAAAATGAGGCAAGATAATGTGTTTGTTGGAACACTTCCCACACTCCCTTTCCTCTTTTGATTTCACTTGCCTTGTAAGCAAAATATAGTCCAACTTGATCAAAGCCCATCCATTTATTTTGCGCAGTTACAGAAACGGACTACAAAGAAAATAATTCCTCCGTCTCCTAGTCAATTTTACCTTCCTAGTTCTAACCATGTTCAAGAATATTCACTTATTATACTTCACTTTACTGTTGATTTTCTTTATTCTTGTGCCAACACAATCAGCGCCTGAAAGTGCAGTGATTACAGAGATTCCAGGTTTCAGTGGCACTTTCCCTTCCAAACATTATTCTGGGTAAGAATTTTAAGAATTTCTTGTTTTTTTGTGCTTATTTGTCGTTTTTGTAAATGGGTTTTTGAAATTGTCGTTTTCTTTATCTGGGATTTTGTAGATATGTGACCATCGATGAAGTTCACGGGAAGAAATTGTACTACTATTTTGTTGAGTCTGAAAGAAATCCATCCAAGGATCCTGTTGTTCTTTGGCTTAATGGTGGACCTGGGTGCTCCAGCTTTGATGGTTTTGTTTATGAGCATGGTAATGGAAATATTATTGTGTTTTATTTAAGATTGTGAGTTTGGCTTTGTTAAATGATTGTATAATGTAAAGTTACTATCTTTTGTACTGAAAAGATTTATGAGTTTTAATTTGTTATGGAAGATGATGCTGTAAAGATTGCATTCTCTGTTGTGTGCGTGGGTTCTAAATCAAAGTGCAGTTTTATCAAATACTGATCTCCATATCTTGAATTGGGATTTTCGGGAAACAATGAATTATGAATTAGGTTTAGCATTAAACTTGTGAATTAGTTGGGGTGTCTTGGATTATACGAATTTAACTTGAATCAATTTATAGATTTTGTCTCAGTATCATTGATATGATTCCTCTGTCCTTGTTTTATTTGGTGATACTCAGAATTTGTTATTTTGAATGTCCCAGCTGTCTCTGTATATTTTCATCTGGTGATATGGTCCGCGTTCTTTATCAGCAATTCTTATGTTTTTCAATGGCAATTCAAGACATCAATATCTTTGAGTTCTTTTTCTTTAGATTCAGCTATAACAAATAGTCTATTTTGAATGGTGATGTTACTGAGCATTAACTCTAGATATATTTCATTCCTTTCATTTATTAATATATTGGAATGAAAACTATATTATTTATCGAAGTAAGTAATGAAAATCATTTTGGTTTTCTTGCTGATATAGAAAAGATAAAAGGATTGCTTTTCTCTTTCCTCCTGATCTGTTTGTTATTAAAAGATTTTCTTTTCCATTTATAATTCCAGGTCCCTTCAATTTCGAGGCAGGAAAACCGCGTGGTAGCCTGCCCACCTTGCATCTCAATCCATACAGCTGGTCCAAGGTTACTATTTTCAGTGTTCTGGATAAATCCTTTCGTTTCCATCCAAGTATCTACGAGATTGCATTAATTTGTTTGATAAAATTGGTTTTTCTATGTACGTACCTGATCACACAGTTTATATTGTTTTGACTTCTCAGGTATCCAACATTTTATATTTGGACTCTCCTGCTGGTGTTGGATTGTCTTACTCAGGAAATAAATCTGACTATATCACAGGAGATTTGAAGACCGCCTCCGATTCCCATACATTTCTCCTCAAGGTGAATATTATCAAAGTGCAAGTTTGGTAAATCTTATAATTGCTTATAAGCTAGTCAATATTTTTATCCATACTTTCTATTGACCCACAGATTTTACCTATTCATTAATCATTACCCCCCACAATTCGTTGGACCTGGATCTTATAATCTAATAAAAGTTTCACCAAACATGGACTTAGAAAGTAAAAAAATACAAGTTGTTTGAAGTTTTTGTGATTTACAAACTGTATATCTTTATTTTCTTATCTCTTTGACGTTTAATGTTCAACAACTTGGTATCATCTGACTAGTGGTTTGAGCTCTACCCGGAATTCCTATCCAACCCGTTTTATATAGCTGGAGAATCATATGCTGGAATATATGTGCCAACCCTGGCCTATGAAGTAGCTAAAGGTGATTATTTTGATATTTCATTTTCATATGTAATTAGAAACAGATTAAAAACCCCAGTCGCCACTGATGTTTTAGTGAAATTTCATGTTGGTCACTAAGCTTTGTTTTGTTTCAAGTGGGTCACTGTATCTAAGCTTTGTTTTAAGTTGTTTAAAGGTTGTTACAATTTGGTCATTTCGTCCATGTACGTTAGTTGACTGATGAGAAAGATGACATAGCAATCTAGTTAGTGGCCTAGTTGGCAAATAACTAGTCTACCAATATGCCACATCATGTTTTCATTATTCTAACTAACTGACATTGATGGAGTGACCAAAGTAACCAAATCATGATAAAATTTAAGTTCAGTGACCAAATTGAAACTAAATGTAGTTCAGTGACCAACATTTGCTAAAAGTTAGCGAGCATCAACGTATTCAACCCACTTATGAGCAAACTGACATGTTCTTGGAATTTCTGTAGGAATTGATGCTGGTACAAAGCCCATTCTCAAACTGAAGGTACACATTAAATATTTCTCGTGTTTGGTATAGAACTTGCATCGAAGTAAATCCATCAATTACAGGGGTACATGGTGGGAAATGGAGTTGCTGATGACGTGATTGATGGCAATGCTCTTGTACCATTTGTACACGGGATGGGTCTCATCTCCAATGAACTTTTTGAGGTACATGTTGCTCAGTTAATTCTTACTAATTTTGCACTTATTCCAATATAAGTCTCTCAACCATGTTTTCGCTATCCAGCGATGTCAACGAGCCGAGTTGAGTTTCAGCTTACAGGGGTACATGGTGGGAAATGGAGTTGCTGATGACGTGATTGATGGCAATGCTCTTGTACCATTTGTACACGGGATGGGTCTCATCTCCAATGAACTTTTTGAGGTACATGTTGCTCAGTTAATTCTTACTAATTTTGCACTTATTCCAATATAAGTCTCTCAACCATGTTTTCGCTATCCAGCGATGTCAACGAGCCGAGTTGAGTTTCAGCTTGGGCTCGGCTCAAGTTAAAATGATTGGGGCTTTTTTGGCCCGAGTCGCTTGACCTGAGCTTTTGGGTCGGGCCATCAGGCTGGGCCGCTCACTTTTTTTTTTTTTTTTAAATAAAAGATTGGCAACCGTGTGCCTGCAAAAGGCAGCAACTACTGCCTGTTATGCTACGTTACAGGCAGCTGTGTGTTGCCTGTAACAGGCCTTATTCTGCTCATCACAGGCTGAAAATGGCTTGTCACACTACGAGGCGGCTAGCTCGAGCACGCCCCAAAATGAGGCTCGGCCTAAGCCCAGCTCGGGCTTTTTCCGAGCCGAGCCATAGGCGGCCCGATCTAGCTAGCCAACTTGATACCCCCATCGCTATCTTAACGTTGTGCAAGTATTACCTGCATTATGAGCTCAAAAAGATTGCCTACGTTACGGTTGTCTACCTATTCTTGTGTGATTTTTTCTTCTTTTTATACATGGATACTGAATTTTGTATGTGGATTTTGTTGAATCGTTGGAACTTTGAATCATAGTTGTCTATAGGAGGGGTTTGACCTTATGAAACATTAGAAAGACCGAAAATTTGGTTTTAATTTTATGACCAGCTGATTATGCCTTATTTTCTAGCAAGCCACAATTTCTTCTTTGCACGTGGCTTATTTAGTTAAATTGCAAATGCGACTAACGAATGAAACATCTTGTAGGAGATTTGCATTACCTCTGACTTTAACCAGAACAAAGATGAACACTCCCTGGATATGGTATCTTGAAGCTAATGTAAAATCTAACAGTATCTGGATACACAAATTTGCTAGAGCTTCCGAGGGTCAAGCTATGTTTCATGTTCTTAACCAAGAAGATATATCACCAGAACGAAAAATAAGCTTAGTACTTCTGCACCATAATTATATTGGATTGTAGTGGGCTTGGCTGGCCTGGGTACTGATTACCGAGAATTTGAAAGGCACTTCAATTTTCAGACATTTTTAAGAGGCCATTACCTGCATGAAATTCAAACAATGTAAAAGCATAGAAGTTCATTTTTGGTTATTTGGATATTTCAGAATGAGAAAAAAAAAATATGTCATCTTTCTTTTTTCTTAAAATTTTCTAATACTTTTTGCTTCACATTGCAGGAAGTCAATGCTGATTGCCAAGGGAACTATTATCATCCAGTGAGTGATAACTGTGAAAATAAGCTCGCCACAGTTGAAAAAGTAAGATGTTGACTACGTTTTTGAGAAAGTTTTTGTTTTAGCAGGTATACTTTGTCCTATTTGGTTTTAATTTCTGAATTATTTCAGGAAATCAAGGTCATGTTGGTCACTAAGCTTTGTTTTGTTTCAAGTGGGTCACTGTATCTAAGCTTTGTTTTAAGTTGTTTAAAGGTTGTTACAATTTGGTCATTTCGTCCATGGTAATTAGAAACAGATTAAAAACCCCAGTCGCCACTGATGTTTTAGTGAAATTTCATGTTGGTCACTAAGCTTTGTTTTGTTTCAAGTGGGTCACTGTATCTAAGCTTTGTTTTAAGTTGTTTAAAGGTTGTTACAATTTGGTCATTTCGTCCATGTACGTTAGTTGACTGATGAGAAAGATGACATAGCAATCTAGTTAGTGGCCTAGCTGGCAAATAACTAGTCTACCAATATGCCACATCATGTTTTCATTATTCTAACTAACTGACATTGATGGAGTGACCAAAGTAACCAAATCATGATAAAATTTAAGTTCAGTGACCAAATTGAAACTAAATGTAGTTCAGTGACCAACATTTGCTAAAAGTTAGCGAGCATCAACGTATTCAACCCACTTATGAGCAAACTGACATGTTCTTGGAATTTCTGTAGGAATTGATGCTGGTACAAAGCCCATTCTCAAACTGAAGGTACACATTAAATATTTCTCGTGTTTGGTATAGAACTTGCATCGAAGTAAATCCATCAATTACAGGGGTACATGGTGGGAAATGGAGTTGCTGATGACGTGATTGATGGCAATGCTCTTGTACCATTTGTACACGGGATGGGTCTCATCTCCAATGAACTTTTTGAGGTACATGTTGCTCAGTTAATTCTTACTAATTTTGCACTTATTCCAATATAAGTCTCTCAACCATGTTTTCGCTATCCAGCGATGTCAACGAGCCGAGTTGAGTTTCAGCTTGGGCTCGGCTCAAGTTAAAATGATTGGGGCTTTTTTGGCCCGAGTCGCTTGACCTGAGCTTTTGGGTCGGGCCATCAGGCTGGGCCGCTCACTTTTTTTTTTTTTTTTAAATAAAAGATTGGCAACCGTGTGCCTGCAAAAGGCAGCAACTACTGCCTGTTATGCTACGTTACAGGCAGCTGTGTGTTGCCTGTAACAGGCCTTATTCTGCTCATCACAGGCTGAAAATGGCTTGTCACACTACGAGGCGGCTAGCTCGAGCACGCCCCAAAATGAGGCTCGGCCTAAGCCCAGCTCGGGCTTTTTCCGAGCCGAGCCATAGGCGGCCCGATCTAGCTAGCCAACTTGATACCCCCATCGCTATCTTAACGTTGTGCAAGTATTACCTGCATTATGAGCTCAAAAAGATTGCCTACGTTACGGTTGTCTACCTATTCTTGTGTGATTTTTTCTTCTTTTTATACATGGATACTGAATTTTGTATGTGGATTTTGTTGAATCGTTGGAACTTTGAATCATAGTTGTCTATAGGAGGGGTTTGACCTTATGAAACATTAGAAAGACCGAAAATTTGGTTTTAATTTTATGACCAGCTGATTATGCCTTATTTTCTAGCAAGCCACAATTTCTTCTTTGCACGTGGCTTATTTAGTTAAATTGCAAATGCGACTAACGAATGAAACATCTTGTAGGAGATTTGCATTACCTCTGACTTTAACCAGAACAAAGATGAACACTCCCTGGATATGGTATCTTGAAGCTAATGTAAAATCTAACAGTATCTGGATACACAAATTTGCTAGAGCTTCCGAGGGTCAAGCTATGTTTCATGTTCTTAACCAAGAAGATATATCACCAGAACGAAAAATAAGCTTAGTACTTCTGCACCATAATTATATTGGATTGTAGTGGGCTTGGCTGGCCTGGGTACTGATTACCGAGAATTTGAAAGGCACTTCAATTTTCAGACATTTTTAAGAGGCCATTACCTGCATGAAATTCAAACAATGTAAAAGCATAGAAGTTCATTTTTGGTTATTTGGATATTTCAGAATGAGAAAAAAAAAATATGTCATCTTTCTTTTTTCTTAAAATTTTCTAATACTTTTTGCTTCACATTGCAGGAAGTCAATGCTGATTGCCAAGGGAACTATTATCATCCAGTGAGTGATAACTGTGAAAATAAGCTCGCCACAGTTGAAAAAGTAAGATGTTGACTACGTTTTTGAGAAAGTTTTTGTTTTAGCAGGTATACTTTGTCCTATTTGGTTTTAATTTCTGAATTATTTCAGGAAATCAAGGATTTAAACATATATGATATTCTTGAACCCTGCTATCATGACACACAAAGTAAAATCACACTGGGTAACGAGAAGTTACCACTGAGCTTCAGAAAGTTAGGTGAGACTGAGAGGCCTCTACGCGTGAGAAAAAGAATGTTTGGGCGTGCCTGGCCACTAAGAGCACCTGTAAGAGAAGGACTTGTCCCTACTTGGCCACAGCTTCTCAGTAGTGAAAGCGTCCCGTGCATTGTAAGTTGCTCCAATTTTTCTCTAGTCCCTTATATTTTTGTTCAGGCTAGCATACTTCAATAATCATCTACTGTTGATAAGCATGAAGGCTGATCATCTTAACGTTGTTGAGTCTTGATATTTAGAGAAGATGATACGCTAACCAATTGCAACTTGAAATCTATGTACAGCTCCTTTTTCATTTATTGGGGTTCATTAATCTAAATTAAATCATAATTTTTATGACATATCTTTAATGTAACTTCTAGGAAATTCATCAGGAACTTCTATATATGTCCCTATGATTTGTCAAACCATCCATTGAGACGGTTATGCTTCTTGAACGCGAAAATGTTGAATATTATCACGAAGATTATCTTTTATTTGTGTTTGTTTGCCCCATCTGACTTTTGAACTTCTTACTGCGTACCTAGTGGCCAATTTGCTTTAGCTCTTGAGCTTTATATTTTTGAACACCTTATTGGGATTTATCTCATGTATGTCTCTTATAACTGGACAAACTATACAGGATGATGAAGTTGCAACTTCATGGCTGAACGATGAAGCAGTTCGGAAAGCAATTCACGCTGAAAATGTAAGTTTTTCTCTTCTCACATTGCTCCAGGTTTTAAACATATTTATTTATGTCCAGTACCATATCAGGGAAATGTGATAGGAAACTGGGAGCTGTGTACAGACAAAATAAGATTTTATCACGATGCTGGAAGCATGATCAAATATCACAAGAACCTCACATCTCGAGGATATCGAGCGCTCATATACAGGTTAGGAAAATCACTAAACTCTGTTATCCATTTCAGCATCCTGCCTCATCGTGTAGTTCTCAATAAGCAATTGCGGAGGTTTTAATTCGTTTGTCAATAAATGCCCTCCCTGGTTACCAAAAGTAAGGATTTGGGATTAGTTATTCCATTTTTAACATTTGCACCAAGTAAAGAGATGGTTAGATTATATTTCCTTGTTATAAATCTTACCATCCCACTGGTGGAATCAGTTCCTGGATGACACTTTTTCTGAAATGTAAAAATAATTAAATTTCTTTTGTAGTCGTTATACAATCAATTCGAGAGGACAGAAATCCTCCAATTCTCTATAGGAGTTAAGCACAGATTCGTTTGAAATTTCTTCATCTTCATTGCGGAACTCTTTTAATAAAAATTGGTTCAGATCTGTTGAATGTGTTATTGAACTTAATATGGGAACTCCTCCACCCATAGACATGCACTCTCATACAGTGAAAGGAAAGAGAGCTCGAAGTGCAGCACACAGTGATGAAATTGAAATGTATTGTGCTTAACAGAAACAAGTGATTATCCTGGGAGTAATATTTAACATGTTTCTGGCAGTGGGGATCATGATATGTGCGTCCCATTTACTGGAAGTGAAGCTTGGACAAAGTCGGTTGGATACAAGATTGTCGATGAATGGAGGCCTTGGCACGTAAAAGACCAAGTTGCTGGGTGTGTCTCTAACTTCTGTTCATTAATAGCTTAATTCTTGGTCTTGACTGAAACATCCTTGTTAATCAGAGCTGATCCGTCTTGGGGTGATGCTTTTCCTTGCTTTCATAAACACACACACTTGACTTCTCATCAGATTTCAAGGCAAAAATTAGACAGAACAACCAATTAACTTCCATTTTACTGTATGCAGGTACCTTCAAGGTTATGAAAACGATCTCATCTTCCTCACCATTAAGGTATATGCATCTAGGACTTTTTTATTTTGATTTATTCTGGGAGTTAGTCGAATTATCGTGATTAGAACTTTCAAAAGATAAACAGAAGTCTCTTTCCAAGTGGTCGAGTATTGAATTTTGATCCTTAATGATGCAGGGAGCTGGACACACGGTACCAGAGTACAAACCGCATGAGGCATTGGAATTCTACACACGCTGGCTAGAGGGCCAAAAAATTTAAACAATCAGGTTATCTTCGAGACAGAAATAGTTGTGGAAGTAGAATCAATTCTCAATCTTTTATCATCTTGGTTGGGAAGGAAAGAGGGAGACACTGACAATAAGATGATTCAGAAAAATACAGGGATTTATTGACGTTTAGGGAACAATGAATTTCCACAAATTTTATGATTTTAAACATGCTCAAAATAACACCCCCCCCCCCCCCCCCCCCCCCCCCCACAAAAAAAAAAAAAAAAAAAAAAAAAAAAAAAAAAAAAAAAAAAAAAAAA